AACATAAGGCAGAAATCTAATTAAATGCTAAATGATATGTATGAAACTACTAAAAAACATAAAAATGGCAAGGGTGGGAGGGAGAATAACATGACCTCAGTCAATAGAAGAGATTTTGTGGAGAGAATAGAACTTAAGTTGGCCTTGATGTACAGGCAGGTAAATTTGATAGGAAGAATGACATAAGCCAAGTATGGATCTGATCCTTAGAAGTAATCTGTAATTATTTGTTTGATGATAATCCTTCTTTTTATGTCAATATTTCAGTGACTATGGAGGTGAGACTCTACCAGGACCTGCATTTGATCCTGCAAGTCACCCAGCTCCAGCTCCTGCTCCCTCTTCCTCTTCAGCATTTCGACCCATAATGCCATCCAGGCAAATTGTAGAAAGGCAACCTCGGATGCTGGATTTCAGGGTTGAGTACAGAGACAGAAATGTTGATGTGGTACTTGAAGACAGCTGTACCATTGGTAAGGTTTTTCCTATCATAAAGCCTTCACAAATAAAAAGTTCAGTAGATAAACATTCTTTTCTCTTGAATTGACTGCCAACAAGAGGGGCAAAAAGCAAATTGAAACTAATGTTTTCCCATACAGATTATTGTGCTCTGTTTTTAAATACTTTGTTGATATTGAGTCAAGTTTGAGAATAATTTTTTCTTTTGTTCCACATGTATGAAATGCTGTATGGTGCTGTTTGAGGGCAAGTGCAAATCAAACATTAGGAACTTAAAAAAATACCATAATTATTAAGTAAATTGTGTATTAGACTTTATAGCTGAAGCTCATTCATTTATCATAGAGTAGTTAATGAGAGATCAGAAATAAGACATATTTCCATCCCGTCTTCACCCTGCCAACTGAATAAATGTTTCAGTGCTATCCTTTCAAAGGAAACTTAAAATATGTGCCTGCTATTTTTGGATAAACATTACCAAATTTCTAAAGAGAAACTGTGTTGAACTTGTGTGATTCAGATACTTGATCTGTATTTGTTATAGAATCAACAATTGCATAAATTTCTATTTTAATGAAGTTTTGCCTTAAATCTAAATTCCAAATATTTTTGAAATTTTGCCTTTGTTCTTTTTTGGGGACATCCTTTCCTAGTTTTGCTTAATTTCATTAATTGAGGTACATTATAGAGAAAGCAAGGCTATTAGAAGAGTGAACATTCCCAAGCACTGATCAGATTGTTATTCCCTTTAAAACCATTTAGAAACTTTCTACTGTTTTTAGGATAGAATTAAAATCTTTTAACCTGGCCTATAAGTCCCTGCTTGATCAGGTCCCTGCCACATTTCTAGTTTTCATCTTACCATACTCCTCCTTGCTCACCACGCCTAAGTTGTAATAGACTTCTTTTAGTTTCTTGAATAGGTTATTAGCCCATTGAAGGCCATTACCTGTTCTTTTGCCTAGATTCCTGTCCTAGTCCAGCCATTTCTCCATATGTCCATCCCCAAAATATTCACCTATGCATCCTCCCCTTTTTAAAAATTGTGGTAAAAAAATCACATAATATGAGGTCCGTCCTCTTAACAAACTGTTTTGAGTGTACTGTATAGTTATGTTAACTGTATGTGCATTGTTCACAGCAGATCTTTAGAACTTGTTCATCTTGCATAACTGAAACTTTGTAACCATTGGCTAACTCCCCATTTTCCCTCTAGCCTCTGGCATCCATCATTCTACTTTCTGCTTCTAAGAGTTTGACTACTTTAAATACCTCAGATAAGTGGAATCATCCAGTATTTCACCTTCTGTGTCTGGCTTATTTCACTTAGTATATATCCTTAAGGTTCATCCATGCTTTAGCATTTTACAGGATTTTCTTCCTTTTTTTAAAGGCTGAATAATATTCTGTTGTAGAGATATACCACATTTTCTTTATCCATTCATCTGTTAATGGACATTGAGGTTGTTCCCAACCTATTGGGAATTTTGGCTATTGTGACATGGGATTACAAATAATTGAGACCCCTTTTTCAATTCTTCTGGGTAAATACTCAGAAGTGGGATTGTTGGATCATATGTTAGTTATATTTTTAATTTTGGGGGGAGCTTCCATACCCTTTTCCATAGTGGCTGCATAGTGGGATTTTACATTTTTACCAGTAGTGCACAAGGGTCCAATTCATCCTCATTCTTAACAATAATTGTTATCTTCTGATTTTTTTTTTTTAAATAATGGCCATCTTAATAGGTATGAGTGATATCTCACTGTGGTTTTGGTTTGCATGTACATAATGATTAGTGATATTGAACATCTTTTCATAAACCTATTGGTCATTTGTATGTATTTGGAGAAATGTCTGTTCAAGTCCTTTGCCCATTTTTAAATTGGGTTTACTTTTTGCTATTGGATTGTAGGGTTTCTTTTTATATTTGGAATATTAACACCTTATCACATATATGGTTTGCAGATGTTCTCTCCCATTCTGTAGGTTGCCTTTCTACTCTGTTGATGTTTCCTTTGCTGACAGAAGCTTTTTAGTTTAATATAGTCGCATTGTCTATTTTGACTTTTGTTTTCTATGCTTCTGGTGTCATGCCCAAGAAATCATTTCTCAGACTAATATTATGAAGCTTTTTCTTTGTTTTCTTCTAGGAATTTTATAGTTTCAGAATAATTTTATGTATTATTTAATCCATTTTGACTTAATTTTTGTGTATGGTGTAACATAAAGATCCAATTTCATTTTTTTGCATGTGGATATCCAGTTTTCCCCTCACCATTTGTTAAAAAGATTATTCTTTCCCTATTATATAGACATGGCACCGTTGTCGAAGATTGTTTGACCTATATGTGTGGGTTTATTTCTGGGCTCTCTATTCTGTTCTATTGATCTGTTTCTCTCTTTATACTAGTACCTTACTGTTTTGTTGACTTTGTAAAATATTTTGAAGTCAGGAAGTGTGAAGGCTCTAGTTTTATTCTTTCTCAAGAATGTTTTAGCTACATAGGGTCTTCTGTGGTTCATATGAATTTTAACATTGTTTTTTCTATTTCTGTGAAAAATGCTTTTGGGATTTTGGTAGGGATCACATTGAATTTGTAGGTCGCTCTGGGTAGTATGGACATTTTAATAAAATATTAAGTCTTTCAATCTATGAACACATGATGTCTTTCCATTTTGTTTCTTGATTTGAGTAATGTTTTGTAGTTTTCATTGTGCTAGTCTTTTGCCCCTTTGGTTATGTTTATTCCTATGTATTTTATTCTTTTCAATGCTATTATAAATGGAATTGTTTTCTTAGTTTCTTTTTTGGGTCATTTGTTGTTAGTGTATAGAAACTGATTAGTTTCCTTTTCAGATTTTTTGATGTTTGTTTATAGAAATTGATTTTTTATTCTGCAAGTTTGCTGAATTTATTAGTTCTAACAATGTGTTTTGTTTTGTTTTTGGTAGAATCTTTCAAGTTTTCTGATATGATATGTAAGATCATATCACCTGTGAACAGAGATAGTTTTACTTCTTCCTTTTTGATTTGGGAGGCTTTTATTTCATTTTGTTGCCTAATCACTCTGGTTAGTACTTCCAATACTGTGTTAAATAGAAGGGATGAGAATGGGCATCCTTGCATTGTTTAGGATCTTTAGAGGAAAAGTTCACCATTGAATATGATGTTAGCTGTGGGTTTTTCATATATGGCCTTTATTATGTTGAGGTCATTTCTTTCTGTTTCTAGTTTGTTGAGCACTTTTATCATGAAATGGTGTTGAATTTTGTCATTGCTTTTTCTGCATTTATTGATAGATCATGTGATGTTTTCCCCTTTATTCTGTTAATATGGTATATCACTTTGATTGATTTTCATATGTTGAACCATCCTTGCATTCCATGGATAAATTCCACCTGGTCATGGTGTGTGATCCTTTAAATGTCCAGTTGAACTGGGTTTTCTAGTATTTTGTTGAGGATTTTTGTATCTGTATTCATCAGGGATATTGGCCTGTTGTTTTTGTTTTTGTTTTTGTTCATGTGGTGTCTTTGGCTTTGGCATCAGGAGGCTGTTGGCCTCATGAAATGAATTTGGAAGTGTTTCCTCCTGTTCAGTTTTGAGAAAGATTGACATTAATTGTTTTTTAAATGTTTGGTGGAATTCTCCAATAAAGCCATTTGGTGCTGCACTTTTCTTTGTTGGGAGGTTTTTGATTACTGATTCAGTCTTCTTATTATAGTTCTGTTCACATTTTCTATTTCTTCATGATTCAGTCTTGTTAGGTTATTTGTTTCTGGGAATTTACCCATTTCTTCTAGAGTATCCTATTTGTTGGCATGTAATTGTTTATTGCAGTCTCCTATGATCCTTTTTATTTCTGTGGTGTCAGTTGTCTTTTTTTTTTTCATTTCTGATGTTTTTGTAGTCTTCTCTCTTTTTTCCCCCTAGCTTAGGCTAAAAGTTTGTCAATTTTGTTGATCTTTTTAAGTATCAACTCTTGTTTTCATTGGTTTTTTTCTCTATTGTTTTTTTATTTTCTTTTCATTTATTTCTGCTCTAATCTTCATTATTTCCTTTCTTCTGCTAACTTTGGACTTATATTGTTCCTTTTTTTCTAGTTCCTAGCGGTATAAAATTGTTTATTTTAGATCTTTTTTAATGTAGACATTTACTGATATAAACTTTCCGCTTTTCATGCATCCCGTAAGTTTTGTATGTTGTATTTTTGTTTTCACTGGTCTCAAAATATTTCTCTTTTGATTTCTTCTTTGGCCCTTAGTTGTTTAAGCATAATTTCCACATATTTGTGAATTTTCCAGAGCACATGGCATGTTAGGTCACTACCAAATCTTAACAAATTAAAGAAAATTGTTATATCAACTGTGTTTTCCAATTACAATAATGAAACTAAAAATCAATAGCAGTTTTCTTTCTGTGCTTTTCTTAAATTTAGTAAGACTAGTTTGTGACCTAATATATCATCTATCCTGGAGAATGTTCCTTGTGTGCTTGAGGAGAACATGTATTCTGTTGCTGTTATGTGTAAGGTTTTGTATATGTCTGTTAGGTTTATTTTGTCCACAGTTTTGTTCAAGTCCTCTGTTTCCTTATTAATCTTCTGTGTGGAAGCCTTATACATTATTGAAATCCCCTACAATTACTATGTTGTTTTGTATTTCTCCTCTCAGTTCTGTGATTGTTTGCTTCTTTTATTGGGTGCTTTGATGTTGGGTGCTTATGTATTTATAATTAGTCATCTTCCTTGGGAATTGAGCCTTTTATTGTTATATAATATCTTCTCTCTCTTGTGACAGTTTTTGACTGACAAGTCTATTTAGAATGATGGCTGCCCTGCTCTCTTTTGGTTACTATTTGCATAGAATACCTTTTTCTGTACTTTCACTTTTGTTATGTGTCCATTAATCTAAAGGGAGTCTCTTGTAGACAGCATATAGTTGGATCTTATTTTTTTAATCCATTCAATCAGTCACTTTGATTGGTGAATTTCATTCATTTACATTTAA